AAAAGAGAAAAGGGGAAGGAAACTGACTATGCATCAAACCTGAACTAAAGGCTGCATGTAATGACACAGCCATCCTGGGAGGGGGCGTTATTGTGCCATCTTTCAAGGTGGGAAACCAAGGCTCAAGGTGAAGCCACCTGCACAAGGCTGGGCACGGTAGAAGCTAGGATTCAGATACTGGCCTCGGGCGACACCAATGCTCCTTCTCCTTCCCTGTAACCACAGCACTTAGATTTCCTGCCACTGCGGCCAGCAGGCCCACGCCGGGAGCAGGACACAGCAGTTGCCGCTGCATTGATCAGGCAGTCTGCTTACCTCCCTGTGGCTGCCATACCTGCCTGCAAATCCCATGGCCAGAGTTTCCAAGCTTTGCTTTGTGAGTCACAAACCCCTGTGAATCCCCTCTCCAGAACAAGGTACATAGCCACATCCACTCCAAGTGTCAGGGGGTTCATGACCTCCCCAAACCCCAAGACCTCTGCACCCACCCCACCTCCCCTAAGGCTGTGTGTCCCAAGTAAGGCCTCTGCCCTCAGGAAAGCTTTCTTTCTTCCTCTCCAAGATCCCAGAATGGACTGGCGCTCCCATTCACAACCCCCACAGGCCTCCATCCACGCACTGCTCTCTGTGGATACCTCCACCGTGAAGTAGCTGTTCCCCCGGGTTCCGTAAGTGATTGCTGGCTTCCTTTGGCTGATCCACAGGTTATCTGAAATTACGATGTAGTCCACACCAGAGAAGAATCGGTTCTTTTCTTTTTCCACAAGTTCCTCCAGGGCAACAGAGCCAGCCTCTTCCATCCCCTCAATGATGAATTTGATATTCACAGGAAGATCCTAAGTAACAACAGAAGAAAAAAATCGCACAAGTTGCCTGCTGTGGTTTGGCTGTGTCTCCACCAAGTCTCAACTTGAATTGCATCTCCCAGAATTCCCACATGTTGTGGAGGGACTCAGGGGGACGTAATTGAATCATGGGGCCAGTCTTTCCTGTGCTATTCTCGTGATAGTAAGTCTCATGAGATCTGATGGGTTTATCAGGCATTTCAGCTTTTGCTTCTTCCTCATTTTCTCTTGCTGCCGCCATGTAAGAAATGACCTTCACCTCCCGCCATGATTCTGAGGCGTCCCCAGCCATGTGGAACTGTAAGTCCAATTAAACCTTCCCACTCTCAGGTATGTCTTTATCAGCAGCGTGAAAACAGACTACTACATTGCCCATTCACCTTTGAAGATCCACTATTTGTTTGCATATAACATAAACACATGAAATTATTATTTACATTCAATGTATGAATGTGCATTCCCCACAGTTGTGTTACAGCAATGGAGTCGTAATTATGGTTGTGAAGGAGAATTCAAGGTAACGCCTGGTGCGTGCCCTCCAACATGTCCTGCCAATTTAATGCTATGATCAAGAATTGGGGAAAGGGGCATCTACAGGAAGAAGCACATTCTATACTACAGAGCTTTCCCGTGTGGCCGCAGAGGGAGGCATTTTTCTCCTTCTCCCCAAAAGGAATTTTTCAAGAAAGGTTAGGCAATTACAAATGGCTTTTCTGTCCTCATAATTCTGAACATGAAAAAGGAGAAATTTCTCCTTTGAAAGATTGTTAAGCCTCAGGTTAATTTTTACTTCCAGTATCTGTTATTTTTCAGCTGTGACTTCAATCTGCCTTTTAACTTATTCGAAGGCTTTGATCTCACAGCAAAATGGAACTTGAGGTTTTTTTTTTTAGTTAATATTAGGGCAAGGAATAGCTCCTTTAAAATTTTTACAACATGCTTCTTCCCCCATTTGCTTTTGATCTTTTTGTATCTTTATAATTTATAACTTCATATCTTTGAGAACCACATTAAGAGGAGAGGTCAAAGTATTTTCCTAGAGCACAGGATGCGTGCAGAACTCTAAAAGTGATTACAGGCAGATAAACAGCATGCACACACTATAATCAGTTCTAATAAGCGGGCTTGACTCACCACAGATTAACAAATGCAACATGAGCACAGGATTATGGATGAGAAAATAATAAGTTACGTAGTAATTAAAATGAGAAAATTAGAAAATCAGTCATTCAGTTGGAGAAGAGCTTTTGGGGGACAGTGATTTGTTCATATGTACCCCTTGTGTTTCTGTGTATCTTAGGAAGTCCATCTGAAGTTCTGAAATCTTAATATCTGAAGGTTCTGTGTGAACACTGAACTAGCAAACAATTGCTGAAGAGTAGTTGGAAATCCTAAGAATTTTCTGGCAAGTCACTTTTAATAAAATACAAACCCATAGCACTCAGCATGCAGGCCGCATACATTAGCAGCTGGGTTTGCCAAGCCTCCCCTTGGCAGCTCATTGCTCTACCTGTGAAATATGGATATTAGTACTCACTCTGCCTCCTAGAAAATAACCCAGGGAGGGAATGTGTCCTAAGAGCTCTGTAGGCAAGGCGGGCAGAGGAGAAGAAGGGAGGGAGGGAGGAAGAAGGGGACACTCTCGAAGGACCTCACACACCACCCCCAGTGCAGATATTTCTTCACTGAATCCCTGTAAGCCTGTGAGGTAGAAACTGCCATTCCCACTTTGATCACAGACGAGGAAAGTGAGGCTCAGAGATGAACTGACGTGTCCAGGGCAGTGAATATTTCTTCTGTTTTCTTTGTGATTGTGTAATTTTCAGAGTTGAAATTTATAAAGGAAAACAGATTTTGGCCTTTTTATTGGAACAATCTTATAAATATTGCTATCCCTTAGAAGGAGAGAGAGAGAAAGAAAGAGAAAGAAAGGAGAGAAGGAAAAACAGGGAGGGAGACAGAGAAAGAAACCAAAGCCACACGGAATGCTCAGGGCATGGGTGGTGTGAGCTTCATGGATAAGAAGACACCTTTGCAGTGGTCTGCAGGACACCACCGAGACCTGTGCTGATTTCCTGAGCGTGTCTTCTGTGAGATTCAGGAGTGGAGTCAGAGTACTTAAGTCCCCCTCATCTGCTTATGTCTCAGGAGGAAAATAAACTTCTGAAGGGAAGGCCCCCCGGGCACCTAATGAAATAATCTCAGGAAAAGACACCCTCAGAAGCCCGGGGTCTTTCTTGCAGGACAGGGTTGCCAGGGAGGCCCCTCAGCCCTTCAGGGCCTTGCCAGCCTTGGACAGGGCTGAGGCGGTGCCCAGGACAGGGCAGATGGAACCATACCCAAGGTTGACCTGATTCTGTTCCACAGGAACAGAATCCGAGGCCCAGAGAGGTAAGTCACCTTGCCCAAGTTCACAGAGCTAGATCCAGTCCTCTGCTGGTGTCTAAGTACATTCGCCAGGGAGCGGGAGAAGAGTGCCTTGAGATAGACCATCCTTGTGTTGAACATGAGATAGTTAAAGGCCAAACCTGGGTCCACCAACAATGTCCTCTGGAGGCCGGAAGAGGGGACCCACCTCCTCAAATCTGTACCCCCTGCCTCTGCTCCAGAGCCCTTATTTGGACATCTAAAGAGAACCACTGTGCTCTCAGGGAAGAGATCCAAGGATTCCTGGCGGAATGTCATGGAGATTCCTATCTTGATCATTTTGCAAAGCAGCCGATACATTTAAAAAATGTGTGTTTGTCTCTGCTAACAAAATCATACTTGTGATAAGAAGAAAAAGAAGATTAAAAAGACAAGATAAGATAAAATAAGGATTAAACAAAAAAAGACAAGTCCATCAGATAGCAGCTTGGCCACAGGCTTGTTGTGTCTTTGGCTGTGTCTTGTTTTTTAACGTGGTTAAAAGTGCAGGCTGGAATCCATCCTCAAAGTATCAGCCTTGCCACCAGCTGCACTGCTCTGGGTAAGTTCTCTGACCTTCGAGCCTTTCTGTCCTTATCTGTGAAATGGATACAATTGTCCACACACCTCCCAAAAGACTGTTGGGAGTGAATAAGTGACCTAAGGCATGTTTGCTCAGAACACAGCAAACAACTCAAAGTAAGTTGTAGGTACCATCCTCCTCCTCCTCCCTCCCGAACACAGCTGTCACCTACTTGTTCCAGGGCTCTGAAGGCGCTCACAGCATTGATCCAAGCCAAGACAGGACCTTTGTGTCGGTTGCGCCTCGTCCATAAAGTTTCCCTTTACAAGGGAAGAAGAATGTTCAGAGAAGTGTGGACACCTCTGCCACGTGAGTTAAAAACCAGTGTTGTTTCATGGGTACTAATGTTAACAGTGCTTTCTTAATAATATTCCAGGCACAAATCTTGCTATGAAATTGGCAAAGTATGATTTCTTATGTACAAATAAGACCGCACAAAGAGATCCTGGATCTCTTCCCTGACAAATAGTACAGTCGTCAGCTAGTCAGATAAGACAAGAAATTTGCAATAGACAGATCCCACTGTCCTTAACAATAATTAGCTATTTTGTCCAAGTTCACTGAAGAGACCCACCGGGGATTTGTTGCGGAGTGCCATGTGGCAGAGCTTCTCATTTTGGGATTTTACAATTAGTAGAAGAATGAAAAAAATATGTGTATATCTCTATTAACCTTTTCTTCTTTTTCTTTATAAAATGCGAATTACATTTGATACTGTTCAAAAGGAAAGTATGTGGCCTGACAAACTGTTTTCCTCACAACTCAAGAACCTCCGTCCAGGGGCACAAAAGTGTGTTGTTTTTTTTCACAATGAAAGAAAACCAGCCTCAGTGAACCAATCAGTAGGCTATGAGAGCGCCTTCTATGCATTCTTCTTTTTTTTTTTTTTTTTAGATGGAGTCTCACTCTGTCATCCAGGCAGAATGGAGTGCATGGTGCCATCTCAGCTCCTGCAACCTCTGCCTCCAGGTTCAAGTGGATTCTCCTGCCTCAGCCTCCTAAGTAACTGGGATTACAAGCATATGCCAGCATGCCAGGCCTTTTTTTTTTTTTTTTTTTCCCAGACAGAGTCTCGCTCTGTCACCCAGGCTAGAGAGCAATGGTGTGATCTAACTCCACCTCCCAGGTTCAAGCAATTCTGCCTTGGTCTCCCAAGTAGCTGTGATTACAGGCGCCCACCACCATGCCCAGCTATTTTTTCGTATTTTTAGTAGAAACGGGGTTTTTGCATGTTGGCCAGGCTGGTCTTGACTCTTGACCTCAGTGATCCAACCACCTTGGCTTCCCAAAGTGCTGGGATTACAGGCATGAGCCACTGCACCGGGCCTGTGCATTCTTAATGACAGGGAGAGACCGAAATCCAGGGACGAGCCACATCTTCACCCCTTCAATCTTGCAAGCACAGCAGCTCCGCACTGTAGCCCGGGTACCTCACTGACCGTCCACCTCCGTCAGCACGTAAGGGTCCGTGAGCCACCCATCGGCCCTGGTCGGCAGGCTGCACGTCCAAGTGGCCGTAGAAGCACCGGTGCCTTTCGTGGGATCGTTCCCCAGTTCGGCCAGGATGACGGGAGGTATGGAAGACTCTGACCATCGGCAGCTGCAAAATGATCAGGAATCACATTTTTAAAAACGCTGTTCTTCCAGAACGTTGTTCTTCCAGAAAATTCAAAGACATGATATTGGGAGTCCTGGCCAGGCTATCCCTGGGTCCTTGGAGAGCCCATGTCATTTTTCTGAACATCAGTTTCTCCATCTCTAAAAATGAGTCCCATGAAACACTTTTTTTCTTTTGGAGACAGGTCTCAGTCCCGGCGCCCAGCTGGAGTGCAGTGGCGCACTCGCAGGCTTATGTGATTTCCTACCTCGGCCTCCTCACAGTAGCTGAGACTCCAGACGTGCGCCACCACGTCTGGCTACCTTTTTGTATTTTTGGTAGAGACAGGTTTTGCCATGTTGCCCAGGCTGGTCTAAACCCTCAGGCTCAAGTAATCCGCCCGCCGTAGCCTCCAAAGTGCTAGGATTTCAAGTGTGAGACACTGCACCCAGCCAAGACGCTTTTTAATTAAGATATAAAACCTAATTAAAAGTAAAAGCACTTCTTTAGATCCACATTGACAATTAGCAGCATTAGCTGAATGTGTTTGAGTAGAATGCAGATGGGCCGGGAACGGTGGCTCATGCCTGTAATCCCAGCACTTTGGGAGGCCAAGGCAGGCAAATCACGAGGTCAGGAGTTGAAGACCAGCCTGGCCAACATGGTTGAAACCCTGTCTCTAATAAAAATACAAAAATTAGCTGGGCGTAGTGGTGCATGCCTGAAATCCAGCTACTCAGGAGGCTGAGGCAAGAGAATTGCTTGAACCGGGACTTTGGAGGTGGAACTTGCGGTGAGCTGAGATCGCACCACTGCACTCCAGCCTGGGCTACAGAGCGAGACTCTGTCTCAAACAAACGAACAGAAAAAGAATGCAGATGACAACTGGCTTAATTAGGTGGACAAATCCTAGAAAATGTGGATGATCCCAAGGTTCCTCAGTGCTAAATAAGCACAGCAGGTGCTTAGATTTAAGACATTCATGATGGAGAGAGTTCTAAGAGACGGTTCTGATGAAAAAAAACAGCTCCAGATACAATGCCTTTGAGAAAGATGCATATGAATTTAAAGAAAAGGACAATTTCCTTTTCCGTAAAGAAGAAATTGGGAACCTGTGTCCAGGGAAGTGAAGAGTACAAGGGGTCCTTTCCATAATAAAGGGGACCTTCACTTGTCATCTGCACTGGTTCTAAGAGCCCGTCCCAGCCCTGGAGTCCTGATAGGACTGGAAAGCAGTAATACGGCTTCGTTCGAGACCAAGGGAATACTTCATCTTCATTAGGAATTGGGGGGTTTTGGTTGAGGATCAGGGTGAGCCTCTCCCTTGCCACCCCCGGGAAGGCACAATTGACATCTAGAAGTAGCTGCTCCCTCGGTGGGCGGGAACACCACAGCACCTGCTGCGAACCCATGTCCACCGAGGTCACACGGGCCCCAGGCGCTGCAGTGTGTCCGCGGCCACAGCATCATTCTGAAGAGCTTCGTCTGAAGCGAGGCACGGGCTGGACAGAGTCGCTCTCGATGGCCACCCACTCCTTCAGCGTCTAGGAGGAAGAGTAAGCAGGCCATTAGCATGGGGGTCCCACATCTGCTCCGGGGGGAGCGAGGGGAGGGCAGGAGATGGTGAGTCCCCAGGTGCTCTTCTGTTGATTGAGGACCTGAGGACCTATGACAGTGCCAGTGAACACTGTGACATTCAAGAGTAACAGATAGAATAGCTGGGGTTTTAATCAGGAACCCGGAGGCCAGAGATGCCTGGTTAGTACAGAAGGTCAGGCAGGGTGGGCTGGGAGAAAGATAATGGTCTGGGTCCTCGCTGGGTTCCCCAGGGCTGTCAAGAAGGGCAAGTCCCCACCCACTGTTTCTAATTAAGAACTGAAGAGCTGGTGGGTTCTCGTTCTCAGCTTTCTCCAGGACTCCTTGCTTCCCACACCTGGCCCTGGAAGCCTCCGGGCCATGACTGAACCCCACAGTGGCCTCCGTTGGGCTGCAGGTCCCTTCTGACATGCTCTGCACTTAGATTCCCCGGCCCGCCCCTCCCTGCGCTCCTAGGATCCCACAGGCACTGTGACGTTGGGCTTAAACTCAGCCTGTCATAGCTGTGTGACTTTGGGTGTATTCCTTAACCTCCCTTAGCCTGAGTGTTCTCATCTGCACAAGAAAGTAACGCTCCCTAATGATAGGGTGATGGTGAGGACCACTGAGGTAACGTGTGCACAAGCTCAGCCTGGTGCGGGCACTGGCGGCCACTCCAGCAGATGCTGGCTGATATGAATGACTGATAAGAACCATTCACACCCGGTGTTGGAACTGAGTGGCTCATACTGAGACAGTCAGCATTTTTATGAAAAACTACACAGATTTACTGATCTTGGATTCTCTTCCTGACTCATTTGAGTTTGATTCTCTCTATCCTGGTTGTAGAGCTTTCATTTTTATTACGAAGGCATTTATCTAATCCTAATGAATTATGTTTTACATTTTTAAACTGGAATTACGGAACAGAGACTGCTGGCTTCTCCCTAAGTTCAGTAGATTTGGGTATGTTTGAGGGACTTAGGGGGCTTGGGTACAAAGTTCAGGGAGACCTCAAGGAGCTCCCCGTCTGGTGAGCACAGACAACACACATCAGTGTGCAATGTGTGGGGGTGTGTGGGGGATGGAACCAGTCGGCCACAGAGGGGACAAGAGAGCTTAGGAGAGCGGGGCTGGGGAGGAGCTGGTGAATCTGTGGGGCTCCAGCAAGCTCCTGCTTCCCATCCTCGTCCTGTCTCCTCCTGCTCCCCAGGCCTCCCTCTTTTGCCATTCCACCTCACCCTCCCTCTAATTTACCCCACTCCCACCCCGTACATGTACAGACCCTGTATGGTGAATTAGGGGTGAAGCAGAGGATTATAAACTTGGGAGGCTGAGGCAGAAGGATCACTTGAACCCAGGAGGTCGAGGCTGCAGTGAGCTGTGTTGTGCCACTGCACTCCAGCCTGGGTGACAGAGGCAAGATCCTGGTCTCAAAAAAATAATAACAACAACAAAAAAAAGGGTCAGGCGTGGTGGCTCATGCCTGCAATCCAGCACTTTGGGAGGCCGAGGAGGGCAGATCACTTGAGGTCAGGAGTTCAAAATCAGCCTGCCCAACATGGGGAAATCCTATCTCTACTGAAAAAACACAAAAATTAGCTGGGCATGTTGGCAGGTGCCTGTAATCCCAGCTCCTTGGGAAGTTGAGGCTGAGGCAGGAAAATCACCTGAACCTGGGAGGTTGTGGTGAGCTGGGGTTTCACCACTGCACTCCAGCCTGGGCAACAGAGCGAGACTCTGTCTCAAAACAAATAAATAAATGAATGAACGAATGGAGGAGATAAAATGCCTATTGTACACATACAAAATAAAAAACGTTGCTGTTGAACTTTGCAGAGCTCCCTGGCTCCCCAGCTCTGCCTAGGCCTTACAATAACGTCAGGTGGCATTAGGAATGGGCGACCTGATGGACCAGGGCAGACTCGAGCTCAGTGGAGGTGTGGTCGTCTCTGCGTGGACATCCCTGGATCAAGTGTGCTGGATATGAAGAGACAGTGCCCTTTGCAGGAGGAATGGCTAGGAGGGATCTCTTCCATCATCTAATGAATACTGAAGATTTTTAACCCAATGAGCAGTCACAGGCATTTTAAATGGAATTAGGCAAAAATATCCACATCTCCAAGCAAATAATTGTCTCACCCAAATACCAAAGGAGGTAATCCATGCATTCTGTGTGCAGTTTCCTTCTCCTACCTGCACAAATTCATCCTGATGGAGGTCAATGTACTGGAAGACTTTCTCTAACAGCGCCGGGGGCAGGGAGTGTGAGGGAGAACATGCCTCCCTCCAGCAGCAGCAGCAGGGCCAGCAGGGACGCAGCTGGAGGGTTTGACACAGGAGGAACGAATGAAATCAGCACCGGTCGCTGGACTTTGGACCTTCCAAATTCCTCAAGAAGGGTTGTTATCTCACACAGCTGCCTCCAGTCAGTCAGAATAAAATAACACAAGGCGGTAGAACCAAACATGTTATTTTTTGTTACGTCTTTCCCCAAACACTTTATTTCCAATGCTAAAGAATTTTAATAAGACAAAAATCGAGTTAACAAGCTCATCTTTAAATAACATCATTCCGTTTATTCCTAGGATAAGGTGTTTCCTCCTGGCCCCTTGGGGAGGCCAGTTCTGCTGCCAGGAGTGAAGGACGATCTTTACAAGACAGAAAAGAGCAAGGTAGAACCGAAAACAAACACGCAAAAATCTTCCATGGTGATGAACTACTGCACTAGACAAAGGAATTTCTGAGCAATGCCTAAAATCCAGTGTTGTGGGGTTTCTTTCCACTGGCTCCTGAAATCACAGTACTTTAACAAGAAAGGAAGAGAAAGGTCTGAGGTGGTGGTTCGTGCCTGTAATCCCAGTACTTTGGGAGGTCGAGGTGGGCGGATCACTTGAGGTCAGGAATTGAAGACCAGTCTGGTCAACATGGTGAAACCCCGTCTCTGAGAGACCATCCACAACCCTGCCTCCTCCCTCCTTTCCCCTCCCTGACCCCTGCTCAGTCTCCCCAGCCCATCCACAGCTGGGAATGACTCCACCTGGGAGTCCTCGAGAGCCTGAGAGCCAGCATTCCTCCTTGACGCCCGACAGGAAGGTCCTGTGGCAAAGTGGGCAAGGGTCACCCCTTCACAGAGGCCCCCCAGAGCCCTGTCTGGAGTGGGAGCTGCCGGCATCAGGCCCAGGGGCCACTGCACATCTGGAGGGGCCATTAGCAACATCTCCCCCAGTGCAGCCCCAGCCACCAGAGGCTGGAGAAGAGGAGGGAGGGAGTGAGGGATGGGAAGGGCCAAGGGGGCTGCAGCCCTTGGTCAGACCCCTGACGCCAGGTTCTTAGCTAGGAAAGCCACCCGCTATCCCCAGGAGACCAGCTGGGCTCCACTTCAGAAGCCAAACCCACCCTCCTGCAGCAGGAGGAAGGAGGGGCGAGTTTAACCCAGCCTGTCTCTGTTAGTTTTGTCTCTGGAATCTCATCTTTTATCGTTTTAAATGTTTGAGATGTTTTACACTATAAAGTTATAATTGTTTAATCTATGATTCTTTAAATGCCCACCTTTCCATAGGTGGAGGTGAGCAGGGGTTACAGGGAAAACAAAGGGAACTAGGCTGGTGAAGTCTCAGTGCCATCCCCGAGACCTTGAGAGACAGGTGTGCTCACAACGAGAGGACGCTCATTACGGATGTGGCCCCGCCAATGCTGCTTATTTTACAATGGAGCATCTGCAAGGCTGTTTGAAAAGCAGTTGGTTGAATATTTTTCTTTTCATTCTGTCATTTTCATGGCTTCCTCTAATCCACTCTCCACAAAGCAGCCTGGGTGATCTTTTTAAAGGCAGGGCAGATCGCAAGACTCCCTGTTTTAGCTCTTCCAAGAGGTCCCATTGCCTTTGTGGTAAAGAAAATATCCCCATGGCCCCCAGGACTTACATGGTGGATCCCACCTGCTTCTCCAACCAGACCTCCTCCCTTGTTGGGGTACCATGCAGGGCTCCTCCATCACTTTCCACCTGTTCCCAAATGCATTGCCGAATCTTCCTCCATGCCCCTGCCCATCCCTTGGCCTCAAGCCCCCATGGAGCAAAGGTGAGCTGGGGAGCATCCAAACTGATGAGCCCCCCAACACATGGCACAGGCATCTGAAATGAAATTGTGCACAGGGAGCTGTGTTCTGTCTCTTCTAGGAATTCACTTCCAACAAAACATCTAGTCCTACTGAAAATGTCCCAGATGGCAAGAAAGAGTGCATCTCCCTAACCAGAGTGTCACTTAGCACCTGGGTCAATCCATCCATGCCAAAAGGACAGTCACTCCCAGGCTGTTCTACCTCCTGTCAGATCATCACTGAAATGCTACAGGGATGTCAGGCTTCAAGAACTTTTCAGCTAGGATTCAGCTGGCACAAAATCTGAGCGACCACAGAGAACCTGTGTTCACAAAACAAGGCAGCAGAGTGAGAGTCAATGCTGGGTGAGGGCATGTGGATAAAGCAGTGCAGTCGGGGTGGCATCACAGGGAGACCACAGGCCTAACAGTCAGGAAGGCCAGCACCAAGTTCAGCCCTGCCAGATCCCAGTTGTGCTCCTTTGGGTACCTCTCTGAGCCTGAATTCCCTCAACGGTCATCAGGGACTGGAAGCCTCACAGTGGTTGAGGACCCAACCAAAGAGCTATAGAAAAATGTGTGGCTCCGAGCAGACAGAGAGCTCACCAGCTGCCAGGAAAGCAGTCAGACATGCTGTGAAATGCAGACCATGTCCCATCATGGGGTGGGGGTGGTCAACAGCAGCGTCTGGGAGGAAACTGGTGCTGAACACTGACGGGGAGGAAGGGTAGTTTGGG